GACAGTATTTCCTACTTTATATTAAACTGGAAGCCGCCATATTGGATTTATAAATAGCGTCGCATATTAATTTTTGATCTCTAGACGTCACCCCGATTCAAAAAATACACACATTGATGGGTAAACATGCCACCGACAATGATAAATTTGACATCCACGTGCACAGATCTATGCGCATACGCTTAAATGAACCGAGTGAACAATCAACGAGCGCGAGTTTGGATCGAACAGCTTCGCTTCAATGCAAAAGTAAGTTCATTTGACAATGAAAGAAGAAATGAACACGAGTCAAGCCAACACAAACAGCATGAAAACTGATCGAAAGTGGTTCTGTTGATGTGAGAAGACAGAATGACTTTCAATTGAAAGTTTACAGCTTCATCGTCGCTTGACGATTTTCGATTGAAAGTGACTTTGTGGGGCCCTGATCAGGAGGCTAGAGAAGTTCAGCATTTTGTAGGTGTTGATATTGATATTTTGCAGCACTGATCCTACCTGAAGCACGGAAGTCAAGGAGCGATAGAAGATAGGAGCAATCGACGTCACCGTTGAGTAATTTAACGACAAACGTAGCTTGTTGTAATTTTCGTCTTCGATCAAGCGTTTCAAGACCAAGCAGACGGCATCTAGCGGGATACGCTGGAAGGTTAGACGGATCACGCCATGGTAGTTTCCTGAGAGCAAGCCGTATGAACCTTTTTTGGACTCGCCAGATTCTTAGGTTCCATGTAACGTCGTTTGGAGCCAATACGAGTAAAGTGTTTTCTAGAATCGGTCACAAAATGGAACAATATAGCGCTTTTAGACAGTGTGGATCCGTGAAGTCCTTGGCAATTTTGGTGATAAAGCCAAGTTGACGGTTTGCCTGGGATATAATCGATGCGTAATGGAAATGGAATTTCGAATCCAACACAACACCAAGATCGGTCACATGGTCCACCCTATCCAGCACAGTATCATCTATTCATGAATTATCTGGTCTTTGGAACGATGGAAGGTCATCACGTGGCATTTTGCGATGCTGATGACAAGTTTATTCAAGCGACTCCAGTGAACAAACATGTTGAGCAACATTTGCAGGTGAAGACAATCCTCGATGCAGCGTACCACCACATATATCTTTAGATCATCAGTATAAATGAGCTTGCATCTACAGTAGACTGATGCAAAATTTGACTTTTTCGCTCCACAGTGCTTAAATGGTTTCAAATCGGGTCCTGATTAGCCTCCCAAAGTTACAAATCATTTGGTTAGAAACAGACTTCGCACAAGCCATTTGAAGTTTACATGTAAATTACTATGGAAAATCTCAATTTTTTGTTCATTGCCTTCTAGTCTTTTTCCATATTGAGCTGCAAAACAGTTCGATAGCCATTCTTATAGAAAATTTTCTTAGCAAAAACTTTGCTCAACATCGTTTCTATGTAAAATGAGACAGGAAAAAGTTATTAATTATTTAAGACATTGGTAAACTTATGACATGATCAAGCAGCTGCTCTGTAGGCAACACTGTATTTTGCAGTGTGACATAGTAGCTATGATTTTTGTGTCATATTCAACGCCCCAGAAACACCAATGTTGCCTGCTGAGCAGTTGATTGAGCATGATCATAAGACATCAGCGCATTGAACCATTGATAACTTTCGATCCTTGCATTTAATCAAAAAGTGGTCTTCAGCAAAGTTTAGCTGCAAAAATTTCCTACAAGTACAGTTGAAAGCTTTTGAAGCAGACAGATATGGTGAATTATTAGATAGACATGAACACAAATCTTGGTTTTACCATAGTAATTCCCATACAAACTTCAAATGGTTTGCGCCATCTCAGTTTCTCACCAAATGGTTTCAAATTTTGAGAGGTTAGTCAGGATCCGATTTGGAATCGTTTAAGTATTGTGGGGCGAAAATTTCAAATTTTGCATCACTCTAATCTACAGCCAAGTGAAGATGCAACGTAATTGAAAAATATGACAAATAGAACGGCCCCATGCCGGGCGCCGGACGTGCTTGCAAATGGCGATAAAACACTAGATCCGTGCTTAATATGCACCACCCTGCCAGTCAGATACGATTAAAACCATGACACATGATTTAATTTCCTGAGTAACATTCTGTGGTCGATTTTGTCAAAAGCCGCCTTCGGGTCCGTATAGATTACGTCTACCTGCACTTTTTCTTCCATAGCCATAAAACAGGTGGTAGTTAGATCCAACAAATTAGTAGCTACGGACCTGCCGGGAATGAATCCGTGTTAATCGGTCGAAATGTGGGTCTTTGTAGCACGCAGAATATGATCGCTGACGATGATCTCGAATAGCTTCGAAGCGGTAGAAAGGCTGGTTATCCCACGGTAGTTTCTGACATCTCGCCGGTCACCGGTTGAAAATGAAGGCTAACGGCTCAGCTACTGCGTTTGCACAGCGACGGAGAACAACAGCAGGAATTCCATCCGGGCCAGGAGCAAATGAACTCTTCAACTTTTTTAATATTTATTTATTATTATTATTATAGTCCATCTGACTTGATAGTCTTAATGAAACACTAAATGTAGTCACTCATTAAAAATTAAAAATTGGCCGACAGCAAACGATGACGAAACCTGGAGGCATTGATGTCATAGTCAAATAGGTCAGAGGCTTCGTTGAATTGATGAATCATGGCGACAAAGGAACTGTTTGCAGCATAGTTGGTTGCATGTACTACTTCATGTAGCAAGATTCTCGGATGGAGTGTTCGGGCAGGAGTATACAGATTAATTTTGGCCAGTAACTCAGGAACATCATATTCTGCGAGCAAAACTTTAGCAACGAAGACGACCTGCGATATGTTTCGTCGCTTAGCAAGAGTATCCAAACTCAGTAAACGACAGCGGTCAGCATACGGTGGTAAATTCAGCGGGTCACTCCATGGAAGATAGCGCAGTGCGTATCTGACGAATTTGCGTTGAACAGCTTTGAATCGTCCACTCCATACTGCTTGGTAGGGATTCCAGACAACACAAGCGAATTCCAGTAGTGAGCGTACCAATGAACAGTAAAGGGCTTTAAAAAACAGAGGATCACGAAATTCCTTAGATATCTTGAACATGAATCCAAGCTGACGATTAGCTTTGTCGATCGTGGTTGAGAAGTGGCGAGTGTATGTGAGCTTTTCATCCAACATGACACCGAGGTCTTTAACGTGATCTGCAGTCCCAGCAACGTTATAATCAAACAAAACGGCAGTCCTAGTTCGATGAAAACTAATTACGCAGCACTTTGAGACGCACAGGACCATAAAATTACGTTCACACCAATCATTAAAGATTTCAAGAAGGTTTTGTAGTTCTAAACAGTCGGCATAGCCTCGAACGACTAGATAAATCTTCAAGTCATCGGCAAAAAACAATTTACCTCCACGCAGTAGAATAAACGTTACATCGTTCACAAATAAAGAGAAGAGCAGTGGTCCCAAAGTGCTACCCTGTGGAACTCCTGATCTGTTCGAGAAACAGTACGATGAGTAGTTTCCAATGCATACAGTAACTTCACGTTGCACGAGGTACGATCTAAGCCAGCTGCAGAAGGAAACAGAACATCCAATTTTTTCAAGCTTTGCTAGCAGAACGTCGTGCACAACTCTATCAAACGCAGCTTTAAGATCAGTGTAGATGGATTCCACTTGAAGTTGCTTGCATACATTTTCCATACAGAACGACGTAAAGCTGACGAGATTAGTTTCCACGGAGCGGCCAATAAAGAAACCATGTTGACATGTACTTATGCAAACAATCTCTCATGTATCAGTGACTCAAACAACTTAGATTCAACCACAAGCGAGGTAATCCCACGGTAGTTTTCAACATTGCGTTTGTCTCCTTTCTTGAAAACAGGGAACATAGTAAAGCGTTTCCATAGTGCGGGAAATTTCTGTTGACGAAGTGACAGGTTGAAGAGCAAGGACAACGGAGCAGCTAAGATATCGGAGCATTTTTTTAGGACAGCACATGGAATAAGACTCGGACCTGGTGAAAATGATGATTTGTACATCTACGGCAATAACATTCATGTTTACGACGTCGGTTGGCACATCACGGACGGCTCGCTCAATTTCTGCTTGCGATGGGGAGTCATTCGAGAAGACGCTTAAGAAGTGCCTAGCAAATAGGCTGCATTTGTCCTCAGTTGTCAATGCTACGTCATTGCCGAGAAACATTTTTGACGGCAGTCCAGTTTCCTTCCTCTTCGTATTCACAAACGACCAGAATACCTTGGGGTGGCATTGCAGATTATGTTGAGTACGAATTACATACCTCTTGTAAAGAAGCTTGTTGTAGTGGCGATAATCATTGCTGGCAATTGAAAAATTTCGCTTGGTAAGGGTACATCGTCGATGAGTGAGAGCACGGAGAGCTCTAGATCGCACTCGTTTCAGGTTGCGGAGAGTAGCGTTAGACCAGGGCGGTTTTCTTGGAGGTAGGCACTTCGGTACTGAAGCACAAACACAGTCGCGCAAAAGACTATTATAGCGAGCGGCTGTTGTATCGATATCAAGGTCATTCAACACGTTCCAGTTGATCCGGGACAAGGAACGCTTCAGCAAACGTCCTCCAACAGTCTTTCAGTCAGCAAACCCAGTACCTCTATTCCGACTGTCTCTCCTACAGCACCTTCTACCGAAACTGCAACAGCTCCTGCCAGTTCGAGCCTCTCGGACAACCCGAATATCTCCGTGGTTGACATCAGTAGTGACGTCTTCTCCCCAGATGCAGCCAGCGACACAACAATCACGCCAGACAACAGCCCGAACTCTGCTAAGAAACCTGACACTCCTTTGCCCAACTTTTCAACGCCAAAAACAAACAAGCGCCCCATCTCGGAACTTGATAACTCACGGCGACCCCCTCGCTCAGCCCAAGTTCCCAAAATACTGAAGCCGCTCCTAAAATCTCCTAAATCACCGGACAAAACGAACGCACCAAAGGAGAAACGGACGTAGTAGCAACTTCTTCTACTATTTCCAATGTCTACGCCACCCACGCCATCCACCCGGACTATTCTAAAGGACCACGCTATTACCACACCACGATCAAACTCCAGCCACCATCATCAGCCGTGTCTGCGATTAGCCTCGGGTAGCCGGGGCCCCATTGGACTGGAAGCTACACCCGAACCAGAACCTTTGGTAACCCCCCGGCGCCCAGGCTATCCAGATGAAGAAATCTGTGCCTTGGGTACGCAGGGCACCGACAGTGCGGACGATAGGACCCCACCGGAACTGGCGGGTACCCTCTGCGACCACAGGACGAAAAATATTGAGAAGAGCCCAGCATTCGGTCCCGGTATTCGGGGCCCCATCGGTGCGGACGCCATTCCCACACCGGAACTGATGGTAACCCCCCGGAGCCGGGGCCTGCCTGGAAGAGGGACGGACAAGGGTGGAAACACCCATACCCCTAAGGACAACGAGGGATCTTCTTTGATTGCGAGGATCGGGACGGAAAAGGGACGTCATTCCCATTCCCCGAAGGATAACGGAAACGAAGAAGGGTCAACATCTGCCGGCCACGCATCGACGAAGCAACGGAACCATCCAAAATTTCTTTCTCCCGTTGGAACATCCCTGCCTTGGGTGGGTGGAACGCCTCCACCTGCCTCTGGTGGGGCTCTGTTTCATTCGGTCCGCGTTCTAAACCCATCGGCAATCTCCGCTGCCGTACTTTCGACACCCGGGTCCGATGGAACTCCCCCGCCTGGCTATCGCGGGTCTCTATCCGACGCCGACTATGCGAACGAAACCGCCGACAACACGGATGAAATCAACGCCTCTGGCCACTACGACGTTCGACATTCCGTCAACATGAGCTGCGAAAGCACCGACTCGGCAACCGCCTTCCCGAAGCCGGCCCTGCCAAAGCCCGTTAACTTTCTGCTTCAATGGAACCTTAACGGGTTCTTCCAACACCTGGCCAATCTGGAACTTCTCTGCCAAGACAGCCTGCCATGGGTGATCGCCCTGCAGGAGGTAAACAAAGTGACGGTGGAACAAATGGACCGTACGTTAGGAAGGAAATACGCATGGATAATGCAGCGTGGTAGCAACTTCCGTCACTCGGTAGCCATTGGAGTCCTACGAGAGGTTGCCTTCCACCCGATTGACGTCGCGTCCGATCTCCCCTTCATCGCCGTCCAGCTAGAAGGCCCTGTCAACATTGCCGTTGCCTGCGCCTACCTGCCATGCGGCCGATTGAATGGCCTCAACAACCAAGTGAAGAGTGCCATCGACAAGCTCCCAGAACCACGAATCCTCGTCGGGGATATGAATGGGCACCATCCCAACTGGGGATGTCCGAGACCGAACAACCGCGGGTCCGCTCTGGCGGACCTTTTTGAAAGCGAAGACCTTGTCGTGCTCAATGACGGGGCACTCACCTTCTTCAATGGACGCCATGCCACCGCCATTGATGTATCCGCTGTCAGCCGAGACGTTGCTGGCAAGTTTCAATGGACCGCCAATTCGGATTTATATGGAAGCGACCACTATCCCATACAGATACAGCTACATGCCGCAGCCGCCCCCGTAACCACCCGTAGGCCACGCTGGAGGTATGACAAAGCTGAATGGGAAGTGTACAGAAACGCCATCCTCTCCGGTATCAGCGAACAGGGTCCCGGTAACATCCCCGACCTGACGAAGACAATCCTCGATGCAGCCGCCGCATCCATTCCCAAGACCAGCAGCATCCCTGGACGAAAAGCCCTTCGATGGTGGACCGAAGAAACGAAGGCAGCCGTGAAAGTCCGACGGAAGGCCCTCCGTAAGCTGAGAAGAACGAAGCCAGACGATCCCGGCCGGGATGGCATTCTCGAACGTTATCGCGGACTGCACATCCAATGCAGGCAAACGATCCGGAGTGCCAAGCAGGAGAGTTGGACGAACTTTCTCGACAGCATAGATGCATCCCAGTCCTCGGCAGATCTTTGGAGCCGTGTAAACGCCCTCAGTGGCAAAAGACGTTCGAGCCCGCTGCAGGTGCAGTCTGAAGATGGCACCATCTCCGAACCAGTAGCCGTTGCCGATGAGCTAGGGAAGTACTTCGCGGAGCTTTCAGCTATCCCTGGATACGGCGAGAACTTTCGTCGCCGCAACAACGCCACACCGGCCTCGATTGGCAACTTTCCCGTACCGGTCGACAACGATAGCGCCAGGATAAACGGTGTTTTCTCCTGGGAGGAACTACAGTTTGCGCTCAGTAAGAGCAAGGGCAAATCGGCGGGTCCCGACGAACTCGGATACCCCCTACTAACACACCTACCGATCGAAGGCCAAGTCCGTATGCTTGAGCTCTTCAACGAACTTTGGACCACCGACTCCTATCCAGCATCGTGGAGGGAAAGCCTGGTCATTCCGATCCCGAAGACTAACGAAACAACGAAAGACGCGACGAAGTTCCGGCCCATTGCCCTCACCTCCTGCATGAGCAAGGTGTTCGAGCGGATGGTGAACCGGAGATTGAAGACCTTTCTGGAGACGAATAGCTTGCTCGATCACCGGCAACACGCCTTCCGTCAAGGATGCGGCACCTCTACCTATTTTGCCACACTGGGAGACGTGCTGAAAGATGCCTTCGACCAGGGACACCACACCGAAATCGTTTCGCTTGACATCTCCAAGGCTTTCAACCGAACCTGGACTCCGGCCGTGCTTGCCCAACTCGTCCGTTGGGGACTTAAGGGACACATGGTCCACTTCGTTCGGAATTTCCTCACCGACCGCTCCTTTCGCGTCGCCATTGGTAACGCCAAATCCAGCAGCTTTCGGGAAGAAACGGGGGTCCCCCAGGGATCCGTGATCTCTGTCACGCTTTTCTTAATTGCGATGAACGGTGTCTTTAACCGGCTACCCAAGAACGTGCACATCTTTGTGTATGCCGACGACGTACTCATCGTGGTAACCGGGCCCACCACAATCCGCACCAGGAACATAGCGCAAGCTGCCGTCACAGCCGTCGTGAAATGGGCCGAAACAGCTGGTTTCCAGCTCTCGGCCAGGAAAAGTGTTAGATGCCACGTCTGCCCGTCCCGACACAGGGTAAGCGGGGCCGCCATCAAGATCGCCGATCAAGCTATCCCCGTTAGGAACTCCGTTCGGATTCTGGGTGTTCTGGTGGACCGCACGTTGTCTTTCGTGCCCCACTTCAACCAGGTGAAGAAGGATTGTAGAAGCAGGGTCAATCTGGTCAGGACCATTTCCAGGCCACACCGATCCAACAACCGGGCAGTTCGCTTCCGTGTCTCGCAAGCCATCATCGACAGCCGGCTGCTGTACGGAACCGAACTTACGTGCATCGCATCGGAGAAGCAGGAGGAAATTCTTGGCCCGACTTCCAACAGTTGTATCCGGATCATTTCCGGTCTCCTACCTTCCACCCCCGCAGATTCTGCGTGTGTTGAAGCAGGGGTTCTACCCTTTCGGTACCGCATCATAAACGCCACGCTGTACAAAGCTGCATCCTTCGCCGCCAAAACAGCAGGGAATGGCAGAGTCTTCCTCCTCGACGAGGGGGATAGAATCATGCAATCGATCGCCAGCATCGACCTCCCCCCGGTGGCTAGGATCCACTGGCACGGAGAGAAGAGTTGGCTCTCTTCCAAACTCATAATCGAAAACGCGATCAAGAATCGATTCAAAGCAGGAGACAACTCTGTAGCCCTACGTTGCACAGTAGCTGAGCTTCTCAGGTCCAAGTTTACCGATTTCACCCACCGGTACACCGATGGTTCCCGATCCAACACGGGCGTTGGCATCGGAGTATCCGGAAGTGGCATACTCGTCAGCAACAGCCTACCACCGCAGTGCTCCGTTTACTCGGCAGAAGCGGCCGCGATCTTCCACGCGGCTACGTCACCAGCTAATCAACCGATTCTTATTTTGACAGATTCGTACAGCGCTATCCAGGAGCTCTGCTCGGCAACTCCCACCCACCCGTGGATTCAGGCTACTGTCAAGTACGCACCCAGTAATACCGTTTTTGCGTGGATACCCGGCCACTGCGGAATTCCCGGAAACGAGGCAGCCGACCAACTCGCTGGAACTGGACCGTCGGGTCCCAGATTCACCGACAAAGTTCCCCTCCAGGACGTCAGACGGTGGATTAAGGCCACCGTTCGGAAGGCATGGACCGACCAATGGGCCAGCACTCGAGGGCCTTTCATCCGGAAAATCAAGGGAACCACGGAGGCATGGACGGACCTCCGAAACCTACCGGACCAGAGGATACTCTCGAGGCTGAGGACTGGACACTGCCGTCTATATCTCAACTTCGGCGGAGGACCCTTCCGCAGGAGCTGCACTATCTGCCACGTTCCGGCAACCGTCGAACACCTACTGTGTGTCTGCCCGGAATTCCAGGACCTCCGGGAGACTTACGGGATTACCTCCAGCATCCGGAACCTGCTCGGAGAGGACTCGCCTGCTGCCGACGCCCTCCTGGTATTCCTGAGGGAGGCGAATTTGTATCATCAAATTTAGTCCGTTTTTGTAGTCAGTTGCTAGTATCAGTTTTTTGTTTGTTTGTTTTCTGCTAGCTGTCGGGACGGCACCGGACGGGATGAGCCTTTGGACCTCGTCACGGTGTCGTCTCGTTCAGGTCATCGTTCCATGTGTTTTAACTTGTTTTTTCGCGAAGAGCCAGGAAAGCTGTATTTTACAGTTTTCAGTAGCAGGAGGGACACCACATGGGATGAATCTTTGACCCTCATAATGGTGGTCACCCTAGATAGTCATTAAGGAAAACGATCAAATTGTTATGCTAAAACTCTGTCAAACAACTCCGTAGGAGGTTCTCCTTCTGAGGCCTCACCCATGACTAAAGAGATGAACTAGCCTCAGGCTAAAAATCTCTAAAATAAAGAAAAAAAAAAAAAAAAAATTCAGCAAACGGAAATCGATCTTCCGGAAATTGAGCCGAGTGGCAGTCATGGTTTCATCAAAACGAATGTGAGATCCGTTCGCGATAGATATATCCAAAGCAGGGTGGAAATTGTCAAGAGGAACGATGACGTCAGGCGCTTCAGCGACGACACAGCCCAGAAGTGCACTTTCGCTAACAAAAACCAAGTCAAGAAAACGAGACTGGAAATTGGGAACAGGGTTTATCTGGCTCAGTCCATGAAAAGTTGTGCCGTCAACAAGCAAGCGGCCGGCAGGAGTAGTTGAAGATGTAATCGGATCTGGAAACGCATAACCCTGGCCTGAGGGTGACCAGTAGACTGATGCAAAATTTGACTTTTTCGCTCCACAGTGCTTAAATGGTTTCAAATCGGGTCCTGATTAACCTCCCAAAGTTACAGCTCATTTGGTTAGAAACAGGCTTCGCACAAGCCATTTGAAGTTTACATGTAAATTACTATGGGAAATCCCAACTTTTAGTTCATTGCCTTCTAGTCTTTTTCCATATTGAGCTACAAAACAGTTCGATAGCCACTCTTATAGAAAATTTTCTCAGCTACAACTTTGCTGAAGTTCATTTCTATGTAAAACGAGACAGGAAAATGTTATTAATTATTTAAGAAATTGGTAAACTTATGACATGATTAAGCAGCTGCTCTGTAGGCAACACTGTATTTTGTAGTGTGACATAGTAGCCATGATTTTTGTGTCCTATTCAAAGCCCCAGAAACACCAATTTTGCCTGCTGAGCAGTTGATTGAGCATGATCATAAGACATCAGCGCATTGAACCATTGATAACTTTCGATCCTTGCATTTAATCAAAAAGTGGTCTTCAGCAAAGTTGTAGCTGGGAGAATTTTCTACAAGTACAGTTGAAAGTTTTTGAAGCAGACCGATGTGGTGAATTATTAGATAGACATGAACAAAAATCTTGGTTTTACCATAGTAATTCCCATACAAACTTCAAATGGTTTGTGCCATCTCAGTTTCTCACCAAATGGGTTCAAATTTTGAGAGGGTAGTCAGGATACGATATGGAATCGTTTAAGTATTGTGGAGCGAAAATTTTAAATTTTGCATCACTCTAGTGACCAGCTAAACCCAGGCAGATTAAAATCACCAAGCAGAAGAAGCACATCCGTTATATCAGCCATGGACGATGCAAATTCTGTAGCATCCAGATGAAGCTGCATTGTGCTGCAGTCATGTCGACGTTCAGGGGGAATATACACCGCTCCAGAGGATGTTCCGCGAAGTGAGGCTGACCTTAACCCAAACCGCTTCAATTGTAGTAAATAGTTCGTTGCCGATTACGCAGGAGGCGAATGCGTTGGAAACAGCGATAAGGACACCACCACCGCGAGTACGAATGCTGTTGGATGAATTACAGTCTAATCTGTAGACAGTAAAAGAGTCACCAAACAGTTGCACTGAATTGATCCTCCCATCGAGCCAAGTTTCCGTGAATACATAAACGTCATATTCCCCGTCAAGCGCAGCCAGATAAACATCGTCCAATTTAGTCATGAGCCCCCTGGTGTTCTGATAATAGACTCGTAAACCGCTAGAATATACCGTGGACTTATCAACAAGCAGTGTTGTCAGATTTTTTTTTGACGCACCGATAATCATTGCAGGTAATATTTCGAACGTGTCCAGATCAACTGCGTCGGGCGGAATTGACGGATTTTTCCTCTTGCTATTTACGAAGCCCCAAAAGTATTTTGGGGCCTCCCTTAGCTCAGTCGGTAAAGGCGCAGCTTCAAAGCAAGACCATGCTGGAGGTAGCTGGGTTCAATTCCCAGTCCGGTCTAGGAATTTTTCGGGTTGGAAAATTTCTCGACTTCCCTGGGCATAGAAGTATGATTGGACTTGCCACACAATTATACCAATGCAAAAATGGTACAGGCATCGAAAACTCTCAATTAATAACTGTGGAAGTGCATCTAGAACACTAAGTTGAGAGCACGCAATAAGCTAATATGCGATATGCAATAAGCTTGAAATGCGAAGAAGAAGAAGAAGCAAAAGTATTTTGGATCCCGGCGTAAACCAAACTGCACCCGTAGACATGGACGATGCTCGAGGAGGACCTGCAAGCACGGTGTTTGGAGTAGAAGAATGGACCACAAACTGGCGCAACTCTAATGGGTTGGTTCACCATCCAGTATCCAGAAAGTCCCTATGGGCGGGAAGATTGCCGGATAATAATCCCGCAAAAATGGTGTTCACCTCAAATCCGGCTGGAACAAGAGGCAGAGGAACGCAGCGTGCTAGGTGGTTGGACCAAGTGGAGCAAGATCTAGGAAGTGTGGGACACTGAGGAGACAAGCAGGCAGCGATCGAGTTAGTTGGCGCAACATTGTTATGTAGGTCAAATCCTAAGGGACGTCGGACCAGCAAAAGTATGTAAATCATGTATAAATTCAAAGTGTTTTATGTTACTTCATACGCGAAGTTTGCGATTTTCAGAGCTGGTTGAAAATGCTAACATTAAGCTTTAGTATGATAATGTATTAGCTAGAGAATGATCTTTAGAAGAGGGTAGTTGGATAGTTCCGTTAGAGTACGGCAGTATGAAAATTGAATAGAAGTTGAAAATGAGCGAAGGGCCATTAATGCGACAGTATAAAGACAAACGCACACCTTTTGCCTAACCCGTACGATGTGCGCGGAGTGAAGTATGTCTTCAAGTCTACAGGCAAAAGATGTGAGTCCGCCTTCAGCTCATTACTGACCGCGGCTGGGGAATAGTTCTAACGACGTTTCATCACTACCTAAAGCCCCACGTTGCGAGAGGATTTCCAGTCGATGGTGTGTTATAATGCAGTTCTTCTTTACGCAATTATTGTGTTGCTCCTCTCGTCATGACCAACGTGGTCATCTCAGAGAGAAAGCAGTAGGGTGGTTGTTGCGTGCTGTACCATCATCAGCATTGTTGACGGCTACTCCCGCCTTGAGTTGCTATGAATGAATGTTTTTATATTACTTCATACGCGAAGTTTGCGATTTTCAGAGTTGTTTTGAAATGCTAACATGAAGCTTTAGTATGATAATTTATTAGCTAGTCGCATTAATGGCCCTTCGCTCATTTTCAACTTCTATTCAATTTTCATACTACCGTACTCTAACGGAACTATCCAACTACCCTCTTCTAAAGATCATTCTCTAGCCTAGCTAATAAATTATCACACTAAAGCTTCATGTTAGCATTTTCAACCAACTCTCAAGTATAAATGTTAAATTCGGAATATTACATTGCATAAAAACCTGCACGATCAACTTCACACCAGAATTGATAATTTACATTTTTAACGAAGACTACAAATCAAGAAGACTGGCAGCTGTTCCCTTCTCCCATACAAATTTCAAACGTCACTAATAACAGCGCCTCTGTCAATCAAAGGTGGAACTTTGAAGCACAAGTGTTAGTGAGACTGCTCATAAACAGTGACTGTGTGTGTGTGACCTAATGCCACCGAAACGAATAATCATAACACGGTACTCGTTGTTTTTGTTTTGCTCTACAAAATTTCACGGCAATTTGTATCCTAATTACAGCAAGTCGGTGGTTTTCCAACTCCAAACCGAAAAACTTGTCATGGTGGATCAAGTAGATGATTGAAACTTGGATCGATACCTAGTGAAAGAACTTTTACTTGTGTACGATGAACCGAAATATTGTTTACCCTGCCTGTTGGAAGCAATCAATTATAAGGAATTGGAAGCTCCCATTACCATTTAGTGAACTACTGTCATTCGGAAACTGCTGAAAATTCAAGGATTCAAAAAGAAGAAAGATTCGATGACTACATCACGATCCAACGGAAGGCGTAGCATGATCTAATGTTGGAGAAAATGAATATGAAAGGTTGAAATGCACACAAATGCATCACTAAAGGGCTTAGGAAATGTGGAAGATAATTCTGAGTTAGCAAATAAATGATCGAGGAAAGTCCTACCATCATTGTGAATGGCATCATTGCCATAGTTTTAATTTTCAGCACAAATTTACTTACGCATTTGTTCAATTTCTGTTGAAATTTTACTCGTTATCAGCATAAAGCAATGAAAGAAACGTTCCGCTTTTTACAACAATCATAACAAAACCAATAATTGGATTGCTTAGGGATATTTAGGTAAATACATATTCGTTATCTACATTAAAAATGGATCCGAAATCCTAAATTTCATCAATTTTGGCACACTGGAACTATTTTAAATAAACACGATTACATAAGCAAAAATCACCGTCTTAGCGCCCCTTGGTGGGCTTTGTATGGGAGCGAGCTGTCAACGAATAGATTTAGTGTCAACGATCAAAACTTTAAATCTTGATTAAAAAATCGAGATGAATGTCTACGGGATCGATACAAATATAGTTGTTCTCAGAAAACGGAGCTCTATCAGATGCTGTATGTATATAGGAGATATATTTATTGATGTTAAACAACCCAATTGACAGCTATTTATTTCTACCTATATGTGTGAATGCAATCGTGAATTAACACACACCATCATACACGGGTTCCACTTTTGCATAGAAGAGGTGTTGCCGTTACTGTCTCCTGATTTTTG